GTACCTATGAAAGTTTTTTTTTCATATTTCGACATTGCTTAATGACTGAATTACAGCTTAATATTGAGAAGAAAGTAGAACAAGGTATTTATTGGCTTTACTGTTAATAAAATAATTAGTTAATTATTAATTATAATTGATTAATTATTATTAATTAATTAATTAATTATAATTAATAAATAAATAAATATAAAAATAGTAAGAGCCAATAGGTCTTGTTGTAGCATACAGTTTTAGCTGTTGAAATCATCTTGTCAATTATGTCACTAATACACTATAGTATGGTACCTAATAAGTTATCCAAGATAGATAATGTGTGCAAAAAACTCCCGCCTACCGGCCAAGTCGGTGACGACATTTGGTCGTGTAGTGATGGCTGAACGACGGACGGACGGAGGCTTCGCGGAAGAGCGGTCGATGACCTCGCCCCCCCCCTACTCAGCCTAATTATCCTCCCCCCTCTCTAACCGCGTAACCATGTTTATGCTTCGTTGCGGTTAAGTTTTAGAATAGTTTTTTATAATAAAAAAATGTTTATTTCTAAACTTCTTATATTAAGCGGAAACGCTATTGTGACAGAGTTGAAGGAAATGCATTCAATGCAGTATATTAGATCAATCACTGACTTTACACAAGAGTAAAGTAAGATAGATGGTCGATAGTAAGTCATGTTCAACTTAACAATACATTTAAAATGACATAAAGACACGTTTCCGATGGACTGGATCGCAAGATAACTGATTGTAGGAACATTTTCTATTAAGGTGGGTTTATACTAAACAAAGATCACAGAGCAGGAATTAGAACCAGGTATATTTAGATTAAAATATTAGCTTAAGAATAACGTATAAAATTAAAAAAACAACGATCGCAGTTGGTCAACTAATTAGAAAGCTGTTAATTTATTCGTAACTATTCATCAAACATTGGGTGAGATATAATTGAAAGAAAGAGGAATCTATTGGTTAGAAATACAAAAGAAATTGTTTACGTAAACTTAATTATAAGCAGTTTTGAATAGTATATTTTATGAATGTACCGCCCAATTCGGAATGCAATTTTAGCTTAGAGAATACGAAAGACAAATTGACTTTTTAAGTTGTTACATTTTACAAATAAAATATATATATATATATATATATATATATATATATATATATATATATATATATATATATATATATATATATATATATATATATATATATATATATATATATATATATATATATATATATATATATATATGTATGTATCAATACAATGATTATCACAAATAGCATAGGTATTAGATATAAATCCGCCTTTAGAGTAGTCGCAAAACGATGTTAACACTAACTCAAATTAAAACCACGATCGCGACTCTTCCCATGGCGTTTGTCGTGAGAAAGATTTCTATCCACGGCATTCATTTTTGTGCAAAAACCGGGGCTTGTTCAGTTCAGTAGCTTCAACGGAAAGGTCACACGAGAACAGTGCTTAAATTAGAAAAAGAAAAAATGGCGCGAAGTCATTTGATACAGCACAAACGCATAGTATTCTGAACATCTTTAGCATTGCACTTTTTTAATTGGCTGCTTGTCGTAACAAACGCATCCTGCTGCACTGATTTATTGTAATGCTGATGTTATTTTACTTTTAGTTGTCTATATATTTAGCTGATTATATTTGAGTGAAAGTTAAGATATGTAATTTCATTTAAACGTGTAATTATGTAGATTCTATTTGATACTAACTGGAACATGTTTAACATGTCGAGAATGTCATGTAGAGAAGGTATTGGCATTGATTCTTTATATTGATCACTTTTTAATCTTAATTTTACTTTTTAATTCGGTTCTTCATAAAATGAGAACTAGCCCGAACTTTAAATTGACATTTAAGTTTTTATTTCGGGGTAATTTAACACTAGTATATAGAATACAGTTTTGATTAATAACTATTAGTTGATTACGTTTCAATCATACTAAGGTTGCGTTTCATTACAGGCGTATTTAGAGGGGGCCAGTTTGGCCATGCCCACCACAGAATTGTCTGGTGCCCATTCCAAAATACCAGGAAAAAATTCGCATGTTTAAAATGTTTAAAAGTACAAGTATGTACATATGATCTTTTTTAAGGGGCCAGGCGACCTCGGGAAAGTAATCTTAATATACGCTAATGCGTTTCATTTTGTTAAATGTTAAAAACAAATTGTATATATTCATAAGTTCAGACAAAGAAATGGCTTCTAAATCATCTAGAATAATTCACCGACCATTACGTAATTATATTTCTTAGTGGACCTACGATGGATAAGACAATTTATGAGTCAAATCCGTTGTTACACAGTACAGTTATTCTTTTATACGTGTAACAATGTGGTATCAGTTGAAAGCATCGTAGCACTCGGCCCATGGCTCCGGGCCACGGTTGCGAAGGATTTACTGCTAGCGTTCGCGCACTCCTAAACACATTTCAACGCCTAATGAACTTCAAATTTATTAACCAAAACAAGTATAATGAATATTAAAAGCCAACAAATTACACTGATTGGATTAATTAATTTAACTGGCGACTGTATAAATATATATAAATTAATTGCAAGTTCAATTTCTTATGAATTATGATTTATTATCTGTTTTGTTAATTTCATTGAGCTAGTTACGGAATAAGGAAACTGACAACCTGAAATGTGTAATATATTTGAGAATGATAAATGATAATTGATAGTGTGAAAGACAATGAGTGCAGCAGGTATATTACCGTTCCATGTGACAATGTATGGACTCATGTTTAGCAGTGGATAATGGCTAAAATTACGATGGCGATTCACAAATTAATTATTGAACAGTTTATATTGTAAAATATGTTATCTATTATTATAATACATACTAGACGCCACATATTATTTGCTGTGTCTAAAGCAAGATTAAATTTGTTTCTACAATTATCTTATAAATGAAATAAAATTTCGAAAAGTGTGACATCTCTTTACATGTTTTCTGGTGGAGTTCACGAGAGCTGGAATGTTTATTATATATATTATTTTTAAATCTAAACTGAATGTACTGTGTTGTACTTGTCATCTTGGGATTCGTTCTATAATGACTATATTACAAAGAAAAAAAAATTAAGAGATACATCGATATTAAGTTCAATTATTGATTAGTATATTAACTTAAAATGATTTGTAGACCATTAGATAAAGACAAAACAGTGTAGGCAGAGACTGTAGATATAACTGGAGGCTGATGTAGGCACTGGCTCGGTATCACTAGATCTTTCTGCAGTACAACAATAGCTCAAACGAGGTGGCGAGTGCAGCACAATAGGGCCTAACTGTGAAGTATGTGCTCTCGGCGTAGCCAAAGATATTAAAGTGATAATGGACCCATAAATTTCAATACTGAATTAATGATGTACGACTATTGCTTACATTAAAGGAGATTAGGTTTCGTTTTAGTGGTCTGTCTACTAGCTAGATATAAATCTGGTTCAACGCTTGGGTGAATTTAAAGATTATTACTGTATATAGACAATGCTACATGAGAGGCTGAGCATAAGAAGCACAGTTGTCAAAGATCTTTTCGTGAGGATTTTTTTACTGTAAGAACGCGATACTTTTAGTTCCGTATCTTTATTTTGAATGTTTTTTTTATGGGTGATAATGGAATGGTAACCCCACGCGGCGAGGCACCAGTGAAAGATGATAGGTGAGGATGAAGCAGGCCAGTTAGCCCATCGTGACGAATTCAACAAGAATTGTTCACGATGATTTCCAGGCGGAACCACGTGTAGGTCGACCTGATAGGGCATATTGCTAACAATGGAGCTGTTAAACTCCATTGCTAACAATCCCTTTCCCCCTTTATTTTGAATGTTATAGGCGGTTAACTAGTTATAAAAATAAACCTCGAAGACTTGTCTGTGTAGGGGTTGTCTGAGTTTTTCACTGATAGGTTCTCAATAATTTAATTTTTTTATGTTTGTTGTCTCATTCTGTCAGTTCTAAACATTGGCGAAAATTGTATTTTTTTTTATTTGAATGGATATACTTATTGATTGGCCCCATAGAAAATTTATTTTAAATCGGTTCGGTAGTTTAATTTATATATATATATATATATATATATATATATATATATATATATATATATATATATATATATATATATATATATATATATATTATTATTATCAAAATTTGATTCTGTCACAATTAAAGTAGTTTTTTTTATGGCACACGATCTTTTGTTATTAAAGTTTTATTGTTATGGTTAATTAGTATATTTTAAAGGAGATACTAGGTAGAGAGATTACTGAAAGAATTAAGTATGAAGTAGGTATTGTAATACAAATTAAGCATACTTAAAATTCAATATTTATAAAACATCGACAGTATTTGTATAATATTTGACTTCATGACGCGTGGGTTGTTGTGACTGGCAACTGTATATTTTATATGTAGGCTTCTTTATATATATTTAAAATGTCTTTTATTTTATTTATTAAAGCTAAAATCGCTTTTGATCATTTTGTGAGTTATTGTTTTTCTACCACAAAGGTGGCAAGTATACAGCCCGTCTGATGGTAAACGCTCACTATAACCCATGGCCGTAATATTATTAGAATTTTTTTTATACAACAACAACAAGCAAACAAGCTAACGGTCCACCTGATAGAAAGTGGTAACCGTCGCCTATAGACATGAGCAGTAGCATGGACATAACAGAGTATATTGTTTCGCCCATGATACCCCCCATGCGTTGCCATTCCTGTGGACTCAGGTGTTATTCCTCTGTACCTAGTAAATTCACGCCATATCCCACCCTTCAAACCGAAACACAGCCATGCTAACACAACTGCTTCACGGTACAAACGCGAATAAGACAGAGGTACCCAAGCAATCGACTTCTGTACAAAGTCTCCCTCTGGTATAATATATTAGATATATATGCTTGGTAATACAGATATGAAACTGTAACAATCGACTGACTTTTCTATAAATTTTGTTACAGATATATTTAATCGAGGATTTCAATGGTTATATGGAATTATTAAGATTTTGGTAAGTAATTAGTAATTTATTGTAATTGTAATTTATAAGTAAACTAATTTAATGTCTTTTAAAATGTCACAGTAAAAAAGCATTGTACTTATTATCTTGTGTCGTCATGAAGGTATATGCGGGCGTTTTTTTCTTGTTATATTGCCCCTAGGTAATTTCATATCTGGCTGCTAACCACTATAGTTGCTGAAGTAGAAAAAGCGAACACATAAATGCTGGCTGTATACATTAAAATTGCTTTTTCATGTTTAAAATTCGAAACGTAATCAAAATGAAACAGCGAGCAAAGTCCAATTTACATTACTAGGTACTTACATCTAATTTTCACATTCTTAACAAATAGGTAGGTACATTAAAACTGCAAGTAATAAAATTAATATATAAAGTCTTTAATCCAAATATGAAATGCCCACCTGATGAAAAGTGGTTTCCATCGCCTATAGACATGAACAGTATCATGGACATAATAGAGTATACTGTTTCGCCCATGATACCCCCCATGCGTTGCCATCTGAGTTTATTTAAAATTCTTATGTTTTATATTTTCCATGAGACTGCATTACAGAAATTTTTATTACAGAACATTTCATAATTTTATATTGTAAAATAAAATATTTTTGGTCTCATTTTTAGAAATTAATTGGGTAGACGGTTCACCAAAAGTTGGTATTCAAGATTTAGCTCCAAGCGATTGTGGACCTAAACACCGAATAAAGGAATATACATTTTTAGATAATGCTCTGTAGAGAATGATAATCGAGGAACATGGTAATTACCATGACGTTTTCGAATAGGTACCAGCCGACACGCAACGATGGTTGCCCCTACCACGGCGCGGTCGAGTTACGATACGGAACGCGTACCTTTACCTAAACGCGGATACATTGTTCAGTTTAGTTGGCCGTGCTTGTGACTAGTGTTATGTTGTGTTGCAATGGATTACACCAGTTTAGATTATATCAAATGTATTGTAGTGGAAAAAAGTGCAGGTGGTGATAGTCGAAGTCCAAGGTCTTTCGGCGTGTCATTCGTTTCAGTAAGTGGACTCATAGTTATGTTAGAGGATTTAAAAATCTAGTTTCACTTTATTTTAACTTGATATATAGATATTGATTTTCTTAGTTATCTAATTAAATAAAATTTTTATTTATATTGTTGTGTTACTTAATAAATTATTCATTACATTTGTAGATACATAATGTATTATTGTTAAAATTTTTAATTTTGGTTCTTTTCTTTTATTTTTTTTTTCTAGTATATTAAAGGCACAAATTATAAGCAGTAATTAATAAAGGGTCCCTTACCTTACATATATCTGCATCGTATATATGCATGAATGTAATGAAAAATTTTGTAAAGAAGCTTCAGTGTTTGTCAAATGATCTTTAGCCAAAAACAGAATTGTTATAATTTTCTTATCTATCCATTAAAAAGGGTCAAAAATTAATCGAGAATTATTTATTTCGAATATTACATGAAATGGAGGGGTTACAGTGCTATAAGTTTATTAGTTAATTATAAAGGAATTGCTTTATACGAATTAGGTGAATAATTAAATTCGTCTACTAGATAAAGTTTAATAGGTATTCAATACACATGCGTATTGAGAAAATAGTACAGTGTCATTGGTCGAATGGTAAGAAATATTCGTAAAAGATTTAAAAAGTTTATTAACTCCCATCTGTTGGGGTTAACGAAAATAAACTCATGTTTGCGTACTGTAAAATGAAACGAGATTTTATGTGAAATTAAAAAAAAAAAGAAATTTATTCAAAAATTTACAGACATACATACATACATACATATCTGTCACGCCTGTCTCCCATTAGGGTAGGCAGAAACAATGGATCGCCAAATGCTTCGATTCAAACAAACCTCTTTCGCTTCTTCCACATTCATCAATCTTTTCATACACGCTCGCCGGTTACGGGTACAAAAATTTATTATAATTATTTCAGAGAATTTATATGATGTATTTGTAATTTTGTGTATTCTGTAACTGCATATAATATTTATATATAGTTTATTGTAAAGTACTAATTTTGCAGTCAACTCTTGAAATCATACAGTATGTTACGTGTCACATTTTATTGTTGAATTAGCACATATATTGTGCTGTATATTGTATGTTGTAGTGATCTGAATTTATAATGGCCTAGACAATGTTTTCAATATAAGCAGGCATTTAGGAATGTACTCAACTAGATAACTGTTTAATATTTTGGTATAAATTAAAATAAATTCTTTATGTCCCTTGTCGCATAGATCTTAATCTACAAATAATAGTGTGTATATTTTTTATCTTTATTGGATGCATTCTAATCTATAAAAGAAATATATTAAAATAAGTAACTACCTTAAGTATTACCCATTTTCGATAAAAGCGTAGAGTTATTTGGTAACTGAGACATTTTAATATATTAAATTCGTTAATATTGTACGAAAGACATAAACAGATTTTTCTTCTTAAATATTTTTTAGTTTTTTTTTTTATACACAGTTATGAGTAAAGCGCTAGGAAATTGGAAGTCAATCTATACAAATATTAACTCTACTGTGAATTTAAAAATTTTGTTGCTTTCCAATTAGTTAATATTTTAGTTATTTATTTTGAAAGGTTTAGTAAATAGTTATAACACAGCGTAAGTTATTTATACTGTAGTGATTATATATAGGTACTATATTGGTATCCAAAAACATTTTTAATGCGTTTTAGAATGTAAATTAATTTTTATTTTAATTTTATAATGACACGAACATGTTAAATTTTAAATTAGGGTTGATTTGGAATTTAAAAAGTATGCAAATATTTTGCGGCATTCACACATAAATTAAAGGAAAAATTTATTCAATATTCAATAATTTAATAGCGGACGGACGTTTCTTATCAATACTTACTGCTAATAAGGAAAGCTTAAAAGTAAGTGGACACCGGGTCCACCGTACCGGCGCCCGCGCACTTCCCGCCCGACATTTGATATGCTGTTTCTGTGTGGGGTCGTTGTCTCATCTACTCACTGTGATTTCTTAAATAGGAACGCACAGGAGTAGAAATGTTGATTATTTGATTTGAGTAGTTATCATTAGTTGTATCTGCACTTGATGTGTTTTATTAAATATGAATAGAATACAGTAGAATAAATATTAATTATTACAATTTTTTGTAAGATGTTATTAACGTCTTAAAGGAAAACAGCCTACCTATACATCGGGCATACAATATTTTACAATCATACAATAAAATCGTCAATAAAGTTGAAAATAAAATAAAGCATGTCAATCAACACTCACAAACTAACTCATGGTCACCATTAGAATATATTAATGGATTATAGATCGTAGAGGAACAAAATTAGGTAAACAGAAACTGATTAATTTGTTTGACATAAATTACAATTGCTCTATTTCTACTATCAGTGATTTGTTAAATAGGAACGCTCAGGAGTAGAAATTTGTATATCTGATTTGTTTAGAGTACATGGTATTAACTATATCAGTATTGAATATGATTTCTTATATACGTACTTACAAGTTACAAAAGCAAAATTGAATGAACATAAAATGTTGATAAATTTTAGTTCTTAAGTGAAAATAATAATTGTTGGATCTCTTATCGTGGTGATTACTTAAATAAGAACGCACATGAGTAGAAATGTTAAATTTCTAATTTGTTTGGAGTAAATGACAATTGCTGTATGTCTACTATGATTTCTTAAATAAGTACTCACATAACTCAAATTGTTAAAAAGTTTGATTTGTTTTTACGAGAAAATTACAATTGCAATGTATTGCCAAAATTAAAATACTAGAAAGGGCAAAAAACCTTATGGTTCACATGATGAAAAATGATAATTTTAATTCGTAAATATGTGATCGTAACTAACATAGTATGGGCAGTTTTATCATATTTATCTCTAATAAAATTAGAATAGATTTTTTTTGACAATTAAAATGATGAAGTTCTAAATTTATCTGTACTTTTCTTAGCTACTTAGGCTAAGACTTATTCAAAATGTTCAAGTTAGGATAAAGAAAAAAGAAATATATAAAAATATTCTATAATTTTTTTATCGTTATCTATTATATTAATAAATTGTTATTAGTATCTGAACATCAACAACTTGTAATATCTTGTACGTCGGGTGTAGTAAAACGGTGAGTTGATTTAAATAAACAAAATTAAATATTGGATATAATTAATTTTCTTAAAAATGATATCCACGACATAAGAAAGATTCCGAATCTTGTTTTAAATTATCATTTAAAACTGTCATTTATTCGGTGTCATACAAGCATATCGCGCTGTCGAGGTGTAGAATTGGCGTTAATAAATGAAAATGCGTCGATAATATCTTTGGTGTTTATAATTTTGCTAATTTTATATGTCGGTGGTTACGCCAAATGCAATATAAAATATTCGTTTTATTATTTTATATTTGTGAAATAATGTAAAATTAAAGCTTAAGTGATTTTAAAATGCCTATTGTGTTACAGGAATATTTGATGAAATAAATTATGTTTTTAAGTAAGCGTGATTCCATTTCCATTTCCATTTTTATTGTTATTTACTTATTGCTCTAAATTCTTTAGTTCACTAAAAATTTAAAAGAAAGTTACTCAAGTTTCAATAGAACTTAATAAAAATATAAACAAACAAATAATTATAATAAGACAGTTTGTTGACCAATAGTAGTATAAATAAAAAATAAATTCAAATTGAGATACTCCTTCTTTTTGAAGATGGCTAAAAATAGATTAATTGATTTGGTTTGATTTAACCTATATTACATAATATTTTCGCTAAATGTGTATTTTTTTTCTGCAAATAAAAGGTTTTACTTCAGTATTGGTCCATATAGAGTCAATACAAAACACACTTAATTTTGACATTATTTTGCAAGTACTTAATTTTAATAGAACTCAACAAAGACCTAAACAGACAACTAATTTTAGTCGAAGTTACCAAAGATACACTCTCTAAATGAAATTAATAACAAATT